CAAACAAGCGCGAACCCGGGGTTCTCCACGGCTCTTAGCCCTCCTTGCCTCGGGCTCCGGCCGGGGTCGACCTCCCCCCTCCACCTCGGCTGCAGCCTCCATGCTGCCCCCCCACCCCCTTCCCGCCCAGGACGCCGCCGCCCGCGCCCGCGGGGAAGTTCTGGTCACTCACCGCCCGCAGGCCGTTCGGCCGGCATGGCTGGACACACTCTGAAACCAGGTCCCCTCCCCTCAGCGCCTTCGACGCCGCGCGCTAAATTCCCACAGACGCCGGGGATCCCAGTCTTCTCACCAAATCCTGGGCCGGGGAAAAACGCGCGCTTCTCCTTCGCGGGAAAACGTCATCGTCTCGCGAGACTCCGCGCTCCAAGCCCCGCCCCCGACTCCCGCAGGCGCGAGATTTGGGGCGGTTTGGCTCGGCCCGGCCCGGGTACCGCCGCCGCGAGCGCGCCCCGGACCTGGCGTGGGGAGGCTGGGTTCCGCCTCGGGGCGCGGCCTTGGTGTGTCCCGGAGGCTGGGCGAGGCTGCTCACGCTGCGGGGCCCACTTCGCTCTCGTGTTGGCTCGAGCTGCTGGACGACGCGGCTGCGGTTTTCAAAAACGAGCTGTTCCTGCCTCAGCGGTCCTAGTAACTTCCAAGTTCTCCCCGGCGGGCGCGGGCGCGCGGGGCCTCGGGGAGGCGGGAGAAGCAAGGGCCGCCGCGGCCCGCCCCGCCCAGGTCACGCTTGGAGTGAAAACACCCCGGAATTACCCGGAGAGCCCTTTTGGGGGTAGGATGCGAGAAATAGGAAATTGAACGAGTTCAAAAAGTTGTCCGAGGGTGAGGGGACCGAATGCAGTGACAAACCAAGAGGAATGGGCCGTGGAGGAGGCAAAAGTCGGTAGTTCTGACCTGCCAGTAACTAAGACTGGGCCCGTGAAGAAGGAGCAGAACGTTCCTGTTCTGGGTTTTCACTTATGCTTTCCTCCCATTCCAGCTTTTCCTGTTAGCATTTTTTAAATTCCTTTCATTTTTGAGCCCAACAACTTTAAAAACTGTATTTACACAAAACTTAAGGGTTTAGAATGCGCTTGCATCATAACTATCCAGCAATCTTCTAAAGCGCTCCGATTAGCAGGGTAGATTTTTTATTAATTTATTTTATATTACTCAGCAATTAAAAAAGATAAACATGCAATTTGCAGCAACATGGATGGAGCTGGAAGGGATCGTGCTCAGCGAAATAAGCCAGAAAGAAAAAGAAAAATACCGATGGTCTCACTCGTAGCAGGAATAAATAAGGGACCAGGTAAAGGGCTAATTATAATAAAGAAAAAAATCAAAATCAACAGGGTAAATATTTTTTTAACTGTCCTAAATTGTTCATTAGGTAAGAATTTTACAAACATTATTATCAGCGATAGCGGTGGAGCTGGAGAGTATTGAGCCTTCTCCAAGCTGCACGGAGAGAACCACCAATAGTGGTGGAACTTGTGGCCCTTTCCGAGACCACGGCTCTTGTGGCCTGCAGATGTTAGCCCCCGCATCTCCCTGTGCTTGTGGACTGGTTTAGTGATCCACTGGGTGTCAGGATTTCTGATAACTTTATGGAATGGATAGATGAGGATAACCTCAAAAAATTTTACGTGGAATCTTTACCAACCCAGTAAGAATTCAGAACTCTCAGAGCTCCACAGTGGCGTCCAGCTCTCTCTTCAGCAAGATTGAAGGCTTCTAGCAAACTTCAGCTGATTAACACCATGGTGGACTGGCTTGCCATAGGTTGCATCCTTTGGAACTGGACGTTTGCGGCCACCACTGCGCACACTGCTGCACCTCCCCCTGCAGTGACCTTTAGGGCTAATGGCTTTCGCCACGGTCCCTAGGTCAGGCTGGGCAAGGAACCAGCGCGCAGGGGAGTACAGCAAAGTTCGCTGGTCCGCAGCACACACGAATCCGATACATGACATAACCGTGCTTGGCTTTGTATCCCAGTCTTCCAGCTTTATCCCGCCGGGTGGGGCGTGGTGCCCTGTGGAGGGCTGACAGCTGGCGATACTGCCAGCAGCCCACCCTGAGAAGAAAGCGCATCACATCAGACTGCTTCTTCCTCCATAGTTCCTGGATGTATTTGTAAGCGCCCATTTTGGCTTACCTGATGGCTGCCGCCAGATGGAAAGAGCCCTTCAGGGTAGATTATTTTTAAGTGAGAAAACAGGCTAGGATAAATCAACTTGTCCAAAAATCTACAGTTGCTTTGTGATAAAACAGGAGTCAAATCTAGGTCTTTTGACACCTGATCCAGTATCAAGACAAAATGTAGTCAATAATTACTCTTAAATCCTACCTCCTAATGAAAGATAATAGCTGTTAGTATCACTAAGATTTTTCTTAAGATTTATTTATTTATTTATACATTTATACAAGCACTGGGTACAGTCAGAAGCACAGAAGGGTGAGAGAATTCACCAGAGCCAGAGCGGGGAACAGAACAGGCAGACCAACAAAGTACACTGCTGAGGGGAGCAGCGGGCGGCAGGAGAGGTCTGCGCGCCATGAGTATCACTAAGATTTTTGACCCTCACCAACCTAACCTCCAAAATTTCTTTCCCTCTCACTTTTGAAACACTGCATTTTGCAAGGTCTTCCCCTAATATATTGAAAATCTTTTCTTCTTTGGAGTTCAAGTTGTGGCTCAACTTACATCTTCCCTCTATCTGTTGGTTTTCTGTATATACTTTGTTTCCGCAGCAACTGCTGTACAGGATTCAGTGATCGGCTCAAAATTGACAGCTTCCCTTTTCATTCCCCACAGATTGGGGGCGATTTGGCCAAACACACATAAGATGGAATTCAAGACAATTCCATCTGATTCTCAGAGGACAGACACCACATCTAACAGCTGGTACCACACTTAATACAAGTACACTGGTGCATTTCTTGCCCTGTGCCAGAGCCGTCCCAGTGTCTGAAAAATTTTGTTCATTCACTTTTATGAGTCCACTTTTAAGTATCTCCTGGGTGCCAGAAACTTTTCTAAGAGTTATACAGCAATGGACCAGACAAGACCGCTGGGTAATATGTGGTTTGAATCTATAACTTCCACCTAGGTGGAAAGGTTTCACATATGACTCAAGTAAATGATATATACTTAACCATCACTTGTTGGAAAAACACATTACAATAACACAAGCATAGAATTCAATTAGCAATAAAGTGGGTGGCAGATGACAAAAATCAAGGCAAGAGAGTTATGGTGTTAGGGGTTGGAATGTCCCTTGGCTTAGCTAGTTGAAAGAAGTAGTGCTTTTTTGGGCAGAACCTCCAGCAGGTTATTGCCAAAATCCGGAGGTTTCAGACACGTAGACATGGAGTCTAAAGCATCTCAGATTGGCTTAATTTAGCTCCTATATTAATATTGCTCTAGAACTGTATTATCAGAGTCATAGGTTAATTTTTTATGCTTGGTCCCTGCACAAGGCTTTTATCTGTCCTTGCCTCATGTGTCTGTTTATCAATGTCCTCATCAACAATTGGTCATTTTGATTTCAAGTTACTCTGTTTAAATTATAACCATTTCTTTTTTTTTAATTATAACTATTTCTTGATCAGTTAGGATCATTACAATATCAGTATATATAACACCTTGATATGAAACTTACATTCAGGAATTAAGTAGCAGGGGGATAAGGTTGAAATTGTAGAGATAAGCAGTGCCCAGAACAGATAGGACCTTGTACAGCAGGGTAAAGAGTTTGTTGTCAGTTTCTTATATTCCTTCAAATCTATATTAATTGTTAACATTTTTAATACAAAAATTTCTTTCCAAATATATTGTATTATTATAAAATCAAAATCATAAATAAAATTATAAAAACACTGTTTATTTCAATGTTAAATAAATGAAATACCTTTGCAATGCAACTTTTTTAAAGCCAAATTCCCTTTCTGGTGTGTATTAGAAAATAAACTTAGCCCATAGAATGAAATGCACATAGTAAAACCTCATTAGTTGGAACCAAAAGGAAGTTCAATATGAACTGTAGAATGTTTGGGAAAGAATACAATTTTGCTAACTTCCCAAACCTTTTAACTTTATATTGGCTATCAAAACATTGAGACAGTGTCTGTCACATAAACTTGGCTTATCAAATGTTCCTAGATTCATTTGAAGTCCCAAATATTTTGCTGCCTTTGTAACACTATTAGTAAGCAAAGAATAATCTTATGAAGCAAGGCTTTCTCTCTTTAAAGTTTCCCTGAAATTTTTAAAAAACCTCTATTGAATTGTTTTTACATGTTGTAAAGCAATGACATTCTAATTAATGAAGTTGTAATGAAGTTTACATTAATTCTAATTAATGAAGTTTACTAGCTTTGGGCATTTATATTTTGGCCACTGCTTTGAGAACAGCAAATTAGTACAAAAATCACTTTTTCCACCAGAGGTATAAGACTTTTTTAATCTGACACTGTATAGTGATGGTAAATTAAAATCTGATTTTTCAATGCTACCTCACTTGTTTTTGCTGTTTTATACTAATCTCTGCTGTCTGAATTTGCACATGGAATACAAAGTAACTGCCTTATCCAAACAAAATAGGAAATAAATTAAACCACGTGGCATTATGAAAATTATTTCATGATTAGATTGCTTTAGCATTAAACACTCTAACAAGGTAAGTGTTGATGAGTTCAGTGTTCTAGGTAAAAATAATATTAGTTCCCGAAAAGCTACAATGAAAGGCTGTTTTCCTGAAGTCAAAGACTTTTGGAAACACTACCTAATTTCTTTTTAAAAAAGATGTATTTATTTATTTATTTATGCATAGAACTTGGGTATAGGCCAAAGGGGCAGGGGTGAGAGGATTCACCAGAGACAGAGTGAGGAGCAGACCTACTGAAATACCCTGGTGAGGGGAGCAACAGCGAAACAGGAGAGGTCTGCTGCACCATTTGGGTTAGCTCCCTGGCCAGGATGGAACTCAGGCAGCAGTGGTGATAGCATGAGGCCTGAGCTGACACTTAACCCCTACACCACCAGGAGGGCCCAACACTAATTTCCATAAAGTCAAACAAATATACTGAATACTCTTATATGAAGGTCATCAATGCAAAAGAAATCAGCAAGAGCTGACTTCAGAAAAATAAGCTAGTTATTGGAGTCTTACTAGTATTTAAACAATATAATGTAGACACGGGCTGAAGAAAGATTAAAGTGAGAAATATATATTGAGTAAATAGAAACAAAACACCATATTATTAAATTTCACATTTGCAGATTTTAGGAAGAGTTATTTTTAATTCAAAATATACTATAACTGAAAAATAGTCATAAACTGTCAATGTGAATAAACCCATACATACTACCTGCATCTAAGGTTCAAGGGAAGATACAGTACATATCTTAGCTAGCAGTACTATCTGTCTCAAGAAACTGAAGACCTAGTACTTAGAGAAATTTGGCAAAAAAGGTTATTCTTTCCCCCCCCTCAAATGTAATTAAATGAACCAGATAACCTAAAATAATAATGACTAATTTCAAGTAATTACTCTGCTTATAAGTTTTATTTACACAGTAATTGTTAATAGTGGTTTTAGTGAATTCCTTGTATTTACATTTTATATATATACATTTATACTTGAAAGGTAAAGAAACTGTACAATCGTAAAAATGAAAAAGAGAAACATAGTAACTTAAGTCCACCTTGGAAAACAAATACACAAAAGTAAGATTAAGTTTAGTAACACAGCCTCAAAGAGATTACTGCCAGGGGTTACATTTCCTTTATCAGCGGCCAATAGCAAGGAAATTGTTACCAGAATTAAAATGTCATTCTACCTATTCAGACTCTAGTACTCCTTCAGTATTTTATTATATTACTGGCTTTTACTAAGCAAGCCCCTATGATAGTTGTTAACTTCTGAGGGTTCCACTAGTAATTCCTAGGCTAGAATGACCCATGGATAAAAATATATGGGCACTGTCTGTTCCAATATTCCTTAAAAGGCAGTCACTACACTAATAAAAAATCTCAGGCTTGTTAGCTTGAAGACTATCTACCACTAACAGAAATAGGGTGCTTAAGTGTTGTTTCAAAATAGAATACAACATAAAAGCACACTATAAATCTATTAACCAAATAGCATTTTAAACAATATCACTCTTCAATACTCAAGTGATTTATTTTAGGTTCAAAACATAAATATATAATAAATTTAATGTCAATTTAACAATAATTAATAATTTCTTTACTATACCATCAGTTAGACTCATAAGAAAAAAGTTAATTTTATCTTTTTTTTTTAACTCTTATTTCCATTGATTAAAAAATTATGCCATAGTGTTTTATTATAAGACATGGACTTGGCTACATACTAAGATTTCAAATTTCAAACTGGAATTAACATATTTTGTTTCTACAAAGTCAAGGAATTTTAACTAAAAAATTTAGTCCTGCCAAGTAGCATGCTATTTAACAACTCTCAGAATTCATTACTTATTACTCTTACCAGTGAAAAACTTCATTTATATTTATGGACTTAATCCCAATAATCAAGTCTTCAGTCCACTAAAGTGCAAACAACTATATCCTCTTAATCAGTTAGCTTTCTTAAATTACCAGATGAACAAAACCAGAAACCAAAAGGCAAAAATTACAGAAGAGAAACAATTTCACTTCAAAACAAAAAGACATGATACTTTGAAAAAAAACATCTAAACAGATGCTAAAAAAACTCCAGTTCCCAGGTAACCCAATTTGTCCCAACCTGTGAGTAAAGATAAACAACTTCAGTGACATAAATAATTTACAATCAAAGTTGCTTCTTCTTCGTTAGTGGTATCTATTAAAAGTTGGAACTGGAGATATCTGTACTGAGGTGTTTATTTCAAATGGTACTTTGGAAGTTAAAGTAGTATTTAACAATCCTGCTCTGACCTCCAAAGTGCCTTTATGGTAACTGTAAAAAAAGTAAAGATGTTGTAAAAATTTGAAATATCTTTCCAAAACTGTTAGAAAAATTTATTGCATTAAACAGTTCACTCCAAATTATGGAGTACGAACTAGTAATTTAAACTTTCTCCATTGTAAAATCATTCTGCCTACAAAATACTTATTAATACTGTCAATAAGTTACTGATTTCATTTACTTTAGTCAAAGAATTTAAAATCAGCAATTTTCCATGTCTTGATCCTTTTAGATTTCTCCAACATTTTCTCCCATGCTTTTTACATTGGAAACAAAAAAACTTTTATTAAAAAATCCATTTTTTAAAATTTCAATTAGTCTGTACACTTTGAAGATTAGCTTTTCAGAGCAGGACTATTATTCTTGTCTCCTTCTTTAATATCCTTCATTACAGATGCAAAGACCTGGAAATTATATAAAGTGAAGATTAATTCTCAAAAAATTACCATGCAGATTAAAGAGATTTAAATTACTGTACGTGAACATAAAAAAGCCTAAGTATCTTAACTATCCTCTATAAGACTGCCATTCTCAAATTCTCTTTTTATACCCAATTTTATGGATATATATATAGAGAGAGAGATTCCAGTTCTTATCATATGCCAAAATATTCTGAAATTACTACTTGGTAATAGAACAGTTTCTGGACCAATATACTCTTATATGTAATGTGAGCTTATATATATCTATATACATATTATATATATATTAGATATCTATACAATGCATTATATACATAATGCATTTTCTATCATTAATGGAAGAAGTGATAATGCTCTCTTTTATATGTCAGTTAAAATGTCAATATATTTGCTTCCCTAAAAATACTCAGCATCTAAAAAAGCAGGATATACATTATTTCTGTTGTGAATCCTTAGTATATGGCAACTATTTCATGCAATCATTGCTGTTTGAAATACCAAAGTAATTATATAGTTGCTCAAGCAAATACATGACTACTGTAGTTTGTATTTCACTAGCCTAAAAAACATTGCTGGACTAGCATAAAAATACAGACATAGGTTTGGATAGATGACAGAGCAGCAATCTGTTTTTAAACACTTGCTTTTTCAAAGTAAAAATCTGAAAAATCTATTTTAAAAAGATTCTTTTTTTAAATTTAAGCATTAACATTTGAGAAATACATAATTATTTAGAAGAAATAAAACGGCTGCATATCTACTAGAGACAAGGAAGTGTAACTCTACCTGAGTCCATTTTTTGGTGCTATTCTGCATCTGAATGGCTGCAATACAGCTGAACAGCTTTTCTGATGTGATATCATCTGGCAATTTAGTAAGAAACTGTGCTATATGGATAAAGTCCATCTGGAGGAGAATATCTTCATATAATCGGAGGATTCCTAATCCAGTCCTAAATAAAAATTCCTCCCCATCTCTGCAAAATACATCCCAGACTCGACAGGCCAGATCAAGTGGTAGTGATTTGCTATATAGTGTGAAGATCCTAAAATTAGGAGGGAAAATAGTTATTGAAATTTTTCATTAACTTATTCACTTATTAAGCATCTCTATATAAAAAGAAGACAGCTTAATTAGGTATAAAAAAAATAAGATATGGAAACTTCCCCCAAAGAATTTAGTGGTGGAAAATTAGTAACAAAAAATGAAATTATGTGAATGTCCCACCTTATATAAAAGTACAGCCCAATACAAATAGGAGTGGCAGAAGAGCCTAATGGTTAAGGGTATAGGCTCCGAAACCAGAATACCTAAGTTTGAATCCTGGATTTGCGATTTATTACTGTTACCTTGAGCAAGATATCTACTCTTGCTGTGCCCTCAGTTTCCTCATGGTAAGTGTAATAACAGGAAATAATACTGCCTATTTCTCAGGATTGTTCTAAAAATTAAAGTAGTAAATGAAAAGTGATCAAAACAGTCCCTGGAACATGAAACTGTTCCATGGAATTTATTTATTACTATATAAGGAATATAAGCATCATCTTTTAGTAACCTAAACATATACCCATAAAGTCTGATTTCTCGCTTTTCCTCTCTTCATCAAACTTTACTTATTACTACTTTCTCACTACTTACCTGTTGTTTTTTTTACCCTCACTTCATCAAATTTTACTTTTTTTGGAGGCATGTATATCCTCCAAAACAATCACTTGATGGCTTTTCCCATCTTTTCTGACAATGCCTGATCGTGAAATTTTTTATCCAGGGGTGCTTCAGAGAGGCATTCTGTTTGGTTAAGTAGGGTGAGTAGGTGCTAAAAAAACTGTTCTTGAAGTTCATTGGCAAACAAAGCACACATTTTTTATGAAAGACTTTATTTTTTCAGGTAATACTGATGAAACTTGATAAAGTAAAATAAAGTGGCAATAAAAGCTCTCCCACATACACAAAATTACCCGTTAGCACTGGTACATATTTATCCCCCTCCCCTTTTTTTTTGCATAACTGATTCTGGGATTTGTATTAATGAGCTCAATATTGGCAGCAAAACAAAAATCAAGTTTGCTTCTTAAATCATAAATACATTTAATTGCAAAAACAAAAGCATACTCTTGGTAGTACAGAAAATACTCACTGTTCAAAATGAGAAAGAGGACCTACCAGCAATAGCCAGGCAGTTTCTAGTACACAGTGCTCATTTTAGTTTCATCCCACTTCCTATCTTCCTATATCAACTGTGATCCTGATTTGCCTCATATTCATGTTCCTCAATACAGAAAATTGTGGTTTTCTTTTCACTTTTTTTTCTTCTTCTTTTATTGGTTAATTTTAAAAGGACAGGTTCATTTGGAAAAGGAGAAAGAAAAAGAGAGGCCTCCCTGTTGGCCTAGAGGTTAAGTATCAGCACTATCACCACTATGGCCAGAGTTCGATCCCCAGCCAGAAAGCTAACTCACATATGGTGCAGCAGACCTCTCCTGTCTCACCTGCTGCTCCCCTTAGCAGTGTATTTCAGAATATCTGCCTGTTCTGCTCTCCATGTAGGAAGAGAAAATCTGCCTGTTCTGCTCTCTTCTCTGTTCACTCTGTCTCTGGTGAATCCTCTCACATCCCGAACCTCTGGCCTATACCCCAGTTCTTCTACACATACAATAAAGAGGCATCTACATAGTTACAGGTGGGCAGGAGAGTTGCTTTCTCCCCCCTTCTTTACAGACGTGGTATTTCTATAAAGAAGTATTTTGGGCTGCATGATATAAAACCTTTGTTTTCCCCATTAACTTGTGTTCTTCTCAGAGGAACTCTAATGAGCGAATACATTTAATATTAATTTACTTTTTAAAAAAGCCTAAATAGGGCCTCCCCGGTGGCGTAGCGGTTGAGCGCTGGGTTGCGAAGCTGCCCACAGCCTCTGCAGTGCCAGTTCGATCCCCGGCTGCTCCCCAGCCACCGGAGGAGGGTCCCACATGGCACACAGACCTCTCCTGCCGCCCGCTGCTCCCCTCAGCAGTGTACTTCCGTCCTTCTGCCTGCTCTGCTCCTGGCTCTGGCTCTGGTGAATTCTCTCACCTTCCCACGCTTCTGACTATACCCAGCGCTTGCATAAATAAATAAATAAATCTTTAAAAAAAAAAAAAAAAAAAAAAGGCTAAATAAAAGAAAGCCGAAACAACTGAGAAGATATATTTGCTCAATGTCATTATATTTCTTTTTTTTTTTTTAGATTTTATTTATTTATTTATACAAACACTGGGTACAGTCAGAAGCGTGGGAGGGTGAGAGAATTCACCAGAGCCAGAGCGGGAAACAGAACAGGCAGACTGACGATACACTGCTAAGGGGAGCAGCAGGCGGCAGGAGATATCTGCGCGCCATGTGGGACCCTCGCCAGCGGCCGGGGATCGAACCAGCGCTGCAGAGGCTGCAGGCAGCTTTGCAGCCCAGCGCTCAACCGCTGCGCCACCGGGGAGGCCCAATGTCATTATATTTCTATATTAAAACTTAACATCATTTACATGAAACCCACTGATTTTTAATGACTTAGGTTTTAAATAATTCAAATATATTCTTGGGCCTCCCTGGTGGTGCAAGGGGTTAAGATGCAACCCATGAAGCTATCCACAGCCACTGCAGCACAAGTTCGATCCCTGGTCAGGGAGATACCCACATGGTGCAGCAGACCTCTCCTGTCTCGCACATTGCTCCCCTCAGCTGTGTATTTCAATCTGCCTGTTCTGTTCCCCACTCTGTCTGTAGTGAATCCTCCCACCCACCCCACACACACACCTCTGGCCTGTACCCCGGTTCTTGTATGCATAAACAAATAAATCTTTAAAAAAAAAAAATTCAAATGTATTCTTAACAATTCATCTTAAGATCAGCTACTTCATCTCATTGGCAAAATTCACTTCCCCCTCCACCATGCTATAATTAATTGGCTACAGCTCGCCAAAGTCCTAGGCAAACCCTCCAAGTTAAAATTGAAAAGCTAGAACTACAAAGTTGAAAAAAGACATAAGAATTTAAGGCATCATTTCTCTATCAATCATGATTTGATATTTTCAAATCTTGGGGGAAAAAAACAAAGCCCTTTTTAAAGAAACATCATCATAGCTATCATAAGCTTTTGTGTGTTAAGGACAAAGGAATAGCAACTAACTTTCTGAGAGCATGGCATTTCCAAGGCATTGAATGCAATAATCCCTGTAGAGCCACTCACAACTCAAACAGGTATTATTTCCATTTCTAGATAAAAAACTGAAACATAAACTAAGAGATTCTGATTTCAGCCCAGAGTCTATGCTCTTAATCAAATGTCTTCCCCACAAAAATGAGTTTCTTTATTTCTAAGAGGATTTTTTTACATGTATGATCCTATGAATGAGAGTTACTCTAGTTCCTAAAACACACAACAAATTATACTTTGTTTCCTTTTAATTATTGTATTTTATGTATGTTATGACTTACCAGTCTATCAAGTATATATCTGGTGTAAGACTGTAAGATTTGAAATGAAGAAATAGCTTGGAGAGATTTTCTTCAAAAAATACTTCAAATGTTGCAAAATATTTCAACATCTAAAGATAGAAATATCAATAAATTTATTAAAGAATATACTCTAGAAATAGAAAAATTAAATCCTTTATCATAAATTAACAGAAAATCTTGCTTAGCACCTCTTTCTGAGTATTCAAACATTCACAAAACTATAATTCAATTAAAAGTATATTTTATATCAGATTATATTCAACTTTTAATTGTTTTTCATTCTAAAAGGACATTCATACTACAGAAATCAATAGTCAATGGAAAACACAATCCATTCTAAATGTTCCTACCATGCTGTGATCCACACGGAAAAAAGCTAGCTGGCATGGTTTATTCAGGAGATTTGCAAATGCAATGAAGGCATCTGCCTCTTCCAAATTGAGAATGAGTACAGCTGCAATGAAAGACATCCCTTGGACCTTCAAATGGAAAAGAAATTAATCAAAATGTACTTATAATTCTATAGTTTATATTACATTGTATTCTTGAAAAATTACAAATATAACCAAAATTTAATCAAGATTTCCAAGAATTAAACAAATAAAGATTTCATTTTCCAAAGAAGGTAAATACACAAAACCAGCTAATAATGATGAAATCTTCCTGACTTTACATTGCTCAGTCATGTATTGTGATTTAAAAAGTATTAGGGAAAATTTGGGGAAAAAAAGAAAAAAGGTATCAATTTTCATTTGCTACAAAAGCCTAGGTCAGTGTAATTCCTAGTTTTCATTTTCTCAGTCTGATGTCTCTGAAAATATAGTACATTGAAGAAGGTTAAAGAAAATCAAGTAATTGTCTTCATTGTTTTAACACACCTGTCTTAGGTAGAAAGTGAGAAACCAAGAATGGAAATAATGGTAAAAATTAGAAAAAGTTGAATGTATTTCTAAATTGTGAAAGGCCTTAAGTAGAAGGCTAAACTACTTTTTAAAGAAACAGTTATGTTTGCTAATCATTTATGGATACCTAGCTGTACATTTCTGAGCAAATAATTTGGACCTGCTATTGAAAACATATATATTCTTTTATTATAAATAAAAGAGTTTATCAAGTACTTCTCGAAGAGATTGGTATACAGGATCTACAGAGTGAGACCACTAAAAATGTTTGCATTGATATCCCTGTCTCTTTTTCCAGCCAAATATTTTCAAAGGGTTGTCTACATTTACAAATTTTACTTTCTCAGTTCCTTTAAACTCTTTCAAATGCTTCATTATGGAGTCCCACTTTCATTATTTTACTGTCCGAAAGGATGACCAAAGATATAAATTAAAAAATCAAATGAGTACTTTCTTAACCTCTTAATAAAATTTTCTTAGCTTCTGTAATCCAGTATTTCTGTTTTGCTTCTACTTTGCTGCCTTCTTCTGAGTACTTTCTGCAGACTCTATAATAATTACCTATTTGATTTTCTACAATATAAATTCAATGATGATAAAGCCTGTGCTAAGAATAATTTGCCCAAAAAATATGGACACCCTAATCCCCAGAACTTGTGGAAATATTACAATATGTGATTAAATTAAGGGTTTGCAAAGGGTAGATAATCCTGGATTATGTGGCTGGGCTCAAAGTAATCATCATGACAGCCCTCATAAGTGAAAGAGGGAAACAAGAGAGTTAGACTACACTGCTGGCTTCAAAGATGGGGCTAAAGGGATCAAAAGCCTCCAAAGAATATAGGCAACCACTAAAAGCTGGCAAAGAAAGGAAAATGGATTCTCCACTAGAATCTCCAGAAGCAACACAGTCCTGCCAATACCTTTACTTAAACCCAGTAAAATCTATTTTGGACTTCTGACCTCCAGAGCTATGGTACCAGATAATGAATTTGTGTTGTTTTAAGTCACTACATTTCAGGAAAATTTGTTGCAGCAATGGTAAGGAAACCAGTCTTTTAACAATTGTATCATCATATCACAATGTCTGCTGAATGGCTATAAGGGGCAAACTGTTAACTTACAGTAGGGTAGCAAACTGGCAGGAATTAAAATATATTTTATTGAACTCAAGATGCTGTTTATAATAAAAAACATTTTATATACCACTAAAAAGGAAAAAATGCTGCTCATTACACAATGGCATTGTTTTCTTAGAATATTTATTTTATGCACATTCATAGCTATTTAAAGCTCATTTATATTTACCAGGTATCATTTTTACATACATAAAAAGAAAGTAAGTAAAATTATCTCTACAATATCTTCCAAATCAAATTTCCTGAATATTCTTTATTATTTATCAACTTGAAGTGTGATGCACTGAAATAGGCATATCATTTATGTAGTATTTCTGTGAAAAATGTATAACTTTAATCTAATTGAGGAGATGATAACACAAAAACTGCAAAAAAGATCACTGTGAAAACAATTAGGCTTGAATCTTCAGAAGTGTCACTATTGTGACAGATACAAAAAGGCAAACAGGGCTAAGGAATAGCTCTAGATTAAAGGAGGTATGGTAACTAAGTACTATATGAGACCCTGATGGGATCTGTAAGGAACCAGGGAGAAGAGAGCTACTGCAGCTTTTCTGTTAGTCCAGAGTTGTTTAAAATAAACATTTGATAAACAAACAAAACCCCACAAACAAACAAAAAACTCCATACCTACATATAAACCATCCAGTTTAAGAAAGAGAACTTTATAGCTACCTTATGTAACCCACCCACGTTCTGTTACTTGAAGTCTTTCTTTCCCTAAGCCTAGATAGGACATGGGAGAAAGTCACCTACTCAGATTCCCCATCATTTATTATCCTTGGAAACATGGATAAAATAAACCCCCCCTCCCTTATTTTCAGGGTTTTACTGATAATCACTACAGAGAAACAGAGTTCTAATGAAAAAATGTGAGAAAGCTATAATTCTTAGAAAGTTGTTATGGTAATATATGAGTCCCACTCGCAGTTTCTGACCTGTAGATATTGGAAAATTCAGTCTCACTTCTCACATCCTCTTTTACAATCTACCCATCTTTGAGCTCCACAATAGTTTAGGCTGAGTTGCTGTATGCTGACTGTATGCCCCAGGCAAATAATAGCTACTACCTCTTTGCTTCAAAGGAGAAAGTTTACATCAGAGAATCATCAGATGTGGGATACTCAAGATTGAGTTTTACTATACTCAGAAGATATCTCTAACCATTTCCTCACTAATACCAACAATACTAATACCAACAATCTCAATAGCAGTAGCCTTAAACATATGTGCAGTCTTGAAATCCATACTTTTGATAGTGTACACTATACCCTGTCACAAATTATTTATTTATTTTTTAAATAATAGATTTTATTTTTATATTTCCCATACAATTGCAACCCCCCCATTTTGACCCCAATCCCTCCCCTCCCACCCCCACCCCCAAAAAGTGTCTCTGGTTCATAGTTTTTTGTTGATTTTGATTTTCACTTTCTTATAGTTATTCATTTTCCTGGTCCCTTATTTAAGTTTTCTAGATTCCTGCTATGAGTGAGACCATCCGGTATTTTTCTTTTTCTTTCTGGCTTATTTCGCTGAGCATGATCCCTTCCAGCGCCATCCATGTTGCTGCAAATTGCATGTGTTTATCTTTTTTGAATGCTGAGTAATATTCCATGGTGTATATGTACCACATCTTCTTGATCCAGTCATCTATTTTTGGGCATTTGGGCTGTTTCCAAAGCTTAGCTATTGTAAACAGTGCTGCTATAAACATAGGGGTGCAGGTGTTCTTTGGAATTGATGTTTCTGTGTCCTTTGGGTAAATACCTAGGAGTGGAATTGATGGATCATATGGAAGCTCTATGTTTAGTAGGTCCAGAAATCTCCACACAGCTCTCCATAGTGGTTGGACCAGTTTGCACTCCCACCAGCAGTGCAGGAGAGTTCCTTTTTCTCCACACCCTCACCAACATTTGTTGTTGCTAGTTTTTTTAATATGTGCCATTCTCACTGGTTGTCACAAATTATTTAAAAGGAAATCATTCCCATATCCTCAATTTACATGTCTTCTTTTCTGAACAAGGTTTTCCTAAAAATGTCACTATTCCCAGCAGCATGTGAAAATCACAATCCTTAACCATTGCAAAACTCAATATGGTAATAAGTATGAAACAAAGGAATAATTTTAAGTGCCGATTGGGGAAGTCTCTGAATTCCTGTCATATATATGAAATATGGGGGAACAGAGATGAATGAGAACAATTTTCATCTAATGACCTCGTCTCTCCCACACCACGTCTTTCTATCCAGGAGGCATACAGCCCTGAGGGAGAGTCACGGAAGAGCAAGCAAACCAAACAGCAGTACAGAATTGGCTCTCAGGTCTTTCATATTTAAGTAGAATATGAACCATCATCTAATTTTTTCAGTATGTAGTAAATTCCAAGGATAACATTTTTGTGAGATTTATTTATACATTTTAAGCATGTGTTATTGATTTTGTCAAATCACACCATTATATATATATATATATATATTTGAACAGTTCAGGGTATTCATATCTTGTAAAATAAGTGGTTTGGTTTACTGATTAACCAGTGGAGTTACCAGTTAAATTATGCTCATATGACATAAATTCAGTAAGTTGATAAATCCACATATTCTATAAAATATTAATGAAGAGTATGCTTATATATTATTCATTAAATGAATCACATATAAAACATTACTGTTTAAATTCTATTGGATACTTTTTTTTAAAGATTTTTATTTATTTATTTATACAAGCACTGTGTACAGTCAGAAGTCAAAAGCACGGGAGGGTGAGAGAATTCACCAGAGCCAGAGCTGAGAGCAGAGCAGAACAGGCAGACTGATGAAGTACGCTGCAGAGGGGAGCAGCGGGCAGCAGGAGAGATCTGCGCGCCATGTGGGACCCTCACCCAGCGGCCGGATATCGAACCGGCGCTGCAGAGGCTGCCGGCAGCTTCGCAACCCAGTGCTCAACTGCTGTGCCACTGGGGAGGCCCGGATACTTTTTTAAAGAAAAATATATCTTATTTTAAAACGTCCATATTTAACAAGTATTAAAAATTAAATCCTTTACAATTAATCTTATGATGAAAAAATGTGAAGGGGTCATGTGATGTTTTACGATTCTACTACTACATGAGCCAGACAGCTTAAACTCTGTTCAAATTTTACTTTATAAGAACTTCATATTGGGCCTCCCTGGTGGCGCAAAGGGTTAAGACACAACCTATGAAGCTATCCGCAGCCAATGCAGCATGAGTTCAATCCCCGGCCAGGAAGGTGACCCACATGGCACAGCAGACCTCTCCTGACTCACCTGCTGCTCCCCTCAGCAGTGTATTTCAGTCAATCTGCTATTCTGTTCCCCACTCTGTCTCTGGTGGATCCTCCCATCCCCCATGCTTCTGGCCTGTACCCCAGTTCTTGTATGCACAAATAAATAAATCTTTAAAAAAAAAAAAGAACTTCATAATCTTCCCAAGACTGGCACTTTCCCCTCTTTACCATCATGCTTTTACCACAGCACTCATATCCTTTTTAAATTTACATAAGATATACTTGTGTGTTTTTTATTGTCTGTCACACCATCTAAATTGTAAATGTCAGAAGGAGAATAATCTTTCTTTCATTCACTGAGGTATCTCAAGAGCCTAGAACAATGTCTGGCATATGGCAATAGTCACACAATAAATATTCGCTGAATGAAGGAAAGAGGATACAAAAAACATGCAACGAAATAGAGTAAGTTGTAACAGAAAGCCACCCTACTGTGTGGTCTCTAAAATTCTTCCAGTTTAAGACAAAGGTAAAAAGATGAAGGTGCTATGACTTAAATCTTATGACTTTATGACTTTCAATTTGTAATTTCACGGCAATTTGAAGACTTAGGTTTTTCTTTGTTCCCTCTCAAACTCACCTAAATAACAGTAAAGAAAAAAATACTAAGTGAAGAGAACAGAAAATGAAAAATAATATAAATAGTAGATAAAAATTATCAACAGCATTTTAGAAATTTCTGTCTAACTAAATGGAGAATTCTGAAACCAAACGATCAGCAGGAGAGGACACCAATAAACAGCAAGCCAATTCAGCCACAAAGGCTGGAATGCTTAGGAACTAAAGTTATTAGGTCTCTGAAAGTCAGGGAGAAGACTCAAATTAGGATTGTTAGAAAGTCTGCAAAATGAGCCAATTCCCTTCTCCATGCTATCTGGGCAGATGGCTGTATTTTTCTCAAAATGGCAGGATCTGAGAGATTTATTCTGCAAAGGCAATCAAGAAAAGAAGGGTTAGGAAGAAGGGGATTGCCCACACTGACGGCAATGGTAATGTAAGTTTATAAACTGAATGGTAAAATCCTGAGCTGTTCTCTAGAAAGCTGGCAACTAGACTTATAAGTCCCCAGTAGAAGATGGGAAGATTCCTTTGTGTGTATAAATTAATAGGCTCAAGAGAAAAGGGCATATGGATACAAACAGTTGGGACTTAATACAACAAAGTATCAAAGATACTTTGTAAAAATATAGGTAAAATGGCTATATTCAAAAAGCAAACTTACATAACCAACATCAGGTCTGTAACACGTATACGCCCCTAAGACACTGTGTAAGACATCATGGTATGGGCCACCCTTAGAAGAGAAAAAAGAAATGTCAAACTATACAAATAATTATCTTTAAGTTAATTCTTAATTTACATGTTAAAAAACTTTAGCATTTCCTCAATGACTAATTTTAGTATATTTAGTCATTGTCAAAATATTCTAAATACATGCTATCAAGATGTTTTCTAAAGTATTAATAAAACATATTTAATACTACACAACAACAAACAAAAGCCAAGTAAATTCACTTGAAGGATATAGCAATATATCCACTTATGGCCAATTTTAAAGACTTCTATATTGGCACAATAAGATTATGATGAATACAGGTTATTCCACTTCATATAAGACAATTTTAGCAAAGAAAACCATCAGCTACAGTAAATTAACATTTATTCATAAAAAATAAAAAATGTATCTCAGTTTGCCTAAAGATAGAGGGATTCCATGTATAAAGATTTTAGTCACAATAAAGTATATGTAAAATGTAATCATTCTCTTATAAAGTATTAGCAATTTCATAACAGCCATTTGCACAAAAAATACCCATTTCTTCCCATTTCAATAGTAATTCTGAAAAATTTTAAGTTATCAGACAAGATTCGTTATATTTTAATAATTTAGAAGGCAAAAATTCAAGTATCCTACAGAATAAAAAGGAAATTCACTTTCATGGAATTTCCTCAGTACCTTCTACATAAAAGACAGTATGTGCTTTAAAATTTTCCCACTAGTTTTTGCGTTTTAAAAAAATAAAACCTTGTAGTTAGAGAATTTGTTCTCTTCAACTCAAAGTGAAAAGGCAACACAAACTAGTCAGAAACCCTCACCTTCTGAAAAATGTAGAGAGATGGAAATGTACGGGATATGTCCAACTTAATCAATTCCAGACTAGCCTCCCGATCAGCAACAGACACACCTGCATTTTCTAGGAAGATAAAATTACAATGATTAATTGATATACAAACTTCAATCTTGTAACCACAGAATGACACATAGCATATTATTTAAGGAAGCTTAAAAGCTGAATACATAAGAGACTTAAAGAAATGAAACAAGCTTTTGCTAGACCTTATCGCTTCTTTTTAATGATGAAAATATCTATACATGTATCAGTTATAAGCTGAAGGATTTCTGCTTCTAATTTTTATAGAACATAGGGGCAATCTACCATTCACACAATGACAACAAAGAAAAAAACAAATAAACTTCCTTTTTAAAACAGGCATTAGAAAGTTACAGATTTAGAGAGGTGTAGATGATTTAAATCCCAGAGGGGAAGAGCCTTTACTAGGTGAGTGGATTACCAGTGGCCATTTTTCTTTCTAGGAGCATCTGCCAAGACTGGGCATGGGCTCAGATTGAGCCAGCCATGGACAAAGGTACTCTGCTTGAGCAAAGAAAAACCAGAAGAGTTTTTCATGACCAAGTAACAATGTGTGGTTGAAAGGGTTTTGAGGACCCTAAATATGGATCTGGCTTTCCCTAATGGGCTTTTTGCTGAGTACTAATGTCGTGCAGAAGGCTAGGTTAACAATTGAGAACGAAGTGACCCAAAATCAAACGATCATTAGGAGAGTGAGAATGTCTCATTGGAGAGGGACGCCTATAATCAAAACAGTATAGTTCTTCCAATCAAGAAATTTGAACCTGAAGATTAAGTCCATCTAAGCTGCAAACTTTCCTCAATCTATTTTACTTACTGACAGATGAAGTGATGGCCCAACTGCCTAACAGGAAAGAGCATACTTCCTTTGAAGAGGAAACATCAGCTTCAGTTTATAAACTTTTTACATACAATGAATGCCAACCAATTTTAAAACTTAAGATATGCAAAGCAGCCGGAAAATATGAGATAATCAAGGGAAAAAAATAAGTCAACAGAAAAGACCTACAGGTGATCTAATGCTGGCATTACAAGAAAGCTACATGTTATAAATATGTTAAAGAATACAGAGGAAAGATGGGGAGAAATGTATGGGATAGAAGGGTGAAGAACTCCCACAAAGAATTACCAATTTACAAAAGAAACCAGGTGGACATTCTAGATTTGCAAAGTATAAAATGTGAAATTAAAGACTCATTGCAGATTTAATAGAATGGATATAGGAGAAGAAAGGATTAGTAAGCTTGATTACATGTCAACAGACAACATTTAAACTGAGGTACAGAAAGAAAAAGATTAATAAAAATGTATAAGAGACTTATGGAACACTGCTAAATGATCCAACATTCATGGAGTTGGAGTTCCAGAAGAAAAGAGATGCAGAAACAATATTTGAAAAGTTAATAGCCAAAAAAATTAAATAATAACTACAACTATAAACACCAGGAAGAAATCAGAAATTTCAATAGAATATTGCTCCTGATTGGAACAATTATTCATTTAATTTCCTACTAAGTACAATTTTTGGTGACAAAATATCTGAGTAAAGGCTTACAAATGAAATTCTTTTACTTTCAATATTTTGAATTTTAAAAGGATGAAAAAGCTGAGGTTCTGATTAAAAATTTCTTATATCATTATTTTCCTCGCACTTTTAGTTCCCACAAATAGCTGACATTGGGATGATACTTAGGGAACCCTTCTGGAGATCCAGTCATCTCTCTGACCTTGTTTAGTCAATTTTCCCATCCTACTGTTCACTTTTCTAAAGCAGAAACAAGGGTATTCAAGGAATTTAACAGAGTTGTTCACATATTCATAGAAGATCCCTATGAGATATACAATTTCTCTACACTAAGACATGTTCATTTTTAGTTTTACTTACAAGCAAGAGAAGAGGGCTTTGTTTTCTCTGAAGTAGAATAGAGAAGAGTCAGACAAATAGCACCCCATTATTCAAGGAAAAGATATAGTTAACTAAAATGCCTATAATAAACTATAACAGGAGAAAAAGTATTCCTGCTTTCTCCAAATTATTAGGAAAAAAATCAGTGTGAGTGGCGCAAAAGTGGTCTATGAATGAAGTCAACAAAGCATAAGGCATGATAAGAATTATAAATACTTGGAAGTGAGTGAAAGTCAGTGGAATGGGGAGATAGGAGATCACAAACGAGGCGTGACGATCAACTGTCTTTAAAGAGTTGGCTTAAAAGTACTTCGTCCATAGCTTAGCTATTATAAATAGTGCTGCTATAAACAAAGGGTTGCAGGTGCCCTTTTGAATTAATGTTTCTGTGTCCTTTGGGTAAATACTTAGGAGTGGAGTTGCTGGATCATATGCAAGCTCTATCTTTAGCAGGTCAAGAAATCTCCACAAAACTCTCCATAGTGAACCGTTTTGCACTCCCACCAACCCAAATGCCCAAAAATAGATGACTGGATCAAGAAGATGTGGTACATATACACAATGTAATATTACTCAGCAATCAAAAAAGATAAACTCATGCAATTTGCAGCAACATGGATGGAGCTGGAAGGGATCATACTCAGCGAAATAAGCCAGAAAGAAAAAGAAAAATACCAGATGGTCTCACTCATAGCAGGGATTTAGAAAACCTAAATAAGGGACCTGGAAAAAGACTAATTGCAATGAAGTAAAAATCAAAATCAACAAGCAACTATAGACCAGAGACACTACAGTGGGGGGCGGGGGGAGGAGAAGAGGGATTAGGGTCAGAAAAAGGGGGTGGGAATTGTATGGGGAATATAACCAAAATGAAAATGCATACATTATGCAAAAATGAAAAATGATGTAAGAATTATATAAAATAAAATAATTCATTTAAAAAAAAGTACTTCATCCAATTAGTCTTACTATTGTGATTAAATCTTGGGTTCTAGAGTCAAACAACCACCTAGGTTTAGGTATCACAGCTTCATTGCACTGAAACTTAGTTTCCTCTTTTATCATTCAGGATAATACTACCTACTTAAAGGACTATTAACATTAAAGGAGATAATGTATGTAAAGCAAGTACATACATTATGCATGACACATGGTAAAAATCACTATAATCTTCAGTGAATAGATTTTCATCCAAAAATTTTCATTTAAAAAAAAAAATCAAACCTTCTGTATCATTCTCTGAACTTGTTTCACTGAAGCTTTTCCACCGTTCTTTTGCTCTTGAAAGGAAGATTTCATAAAGTTCTGGTAGGAAAAAGAAAAATTCATAAATAATAGAAGAAAATATATTTATGGATTTTTACTTTTACTTCTAAAAAATAAAGATAGAAATCCTATTATAGGCCAGGTCTCCCTTATATAGCAGGTATCAAAAATGTGGCAAACTGAAGTGCTTGATTCTATCAATGCTGTTTATTACACAACCAGAAGATAACAAGTATGAAAACTGCTGAGTGGTTATATGAATATCTAAATACAAAACATCTGTGAGGTAGGAGGAAATGTTTCTGCTGAAAGAGTATCACTGTGGACTGGCAGAAATGTGAATGTTTGTCATTGGTCAGACCTAAATTCAAAATCCAGCTCTACTATAATTATGACATATGGTACTTTAAGAAGTTATTTGGTCACACTGGAACTTGGCTTTCTTGGTCTGGTTAGTGGAGAAGCTAACACCTACTCACGGTGTTCTACCTTAGGTGTTACCGATAATTAAACACTATAATTTACATAGAGTTCCTGACATTTTGCAGATCCTCATTAAAAGCTGGTTTTATTTTCCTTTTCTCTTGAAACTGTTTTTTTCTATTATAATACTGCTATCTAAAACCACCTAAGTTATCTAAAGATACCCAAACTTAATTCACACAGGTGTGGTCAAATAAAAATGCTACCCCTAACTTATTACTTTAAGTGTAAAGAATCACTCTATGCTTCCATATGCAGGATCTCACTAAAACTTCAAGAAACCAAAATTTTTTCTCAGTTTTCAATTTTTTTTAAAGATTCATTTTATTTATTTATGCATCCAAGAACTGGGGTGTAGGCCAGAGGTGTGTGGGGGGGGTGGGTAAGAAGATTCACCAGAGATAGAGTGGGGAGCTGAACAGGCAGATCTACTGAAACATACTGCAGAGCGGGGCAGCAGGTGAGACAGAAGTCTGCTGCACCATGTGGGTCAGCTCCCTGGTGGGGGAAATCGAATTCATGCAGCAGCAGCTAGCAATAGCTTAAGAGCACTGAGACTTTAACCCCTGTGCCACCAGGGAGATCCTCAGTTCTCAAATTTTAATTATCATTATTTTATAACCATTACAGATATTTTGACTAATTATCATTATTTTATAACCATTACAGATATTTTCAATTACTTAAAAAAGTAAATTTCACTGACAGAAAATAATAAAAAATATTTCTTGCCCAGATACCACACCAACATTTATATACTGCCCAAAACATCAAGCAAAAAAAGATTCTTTTTGCTTGAATTACTCTTTTAAAATTTTAATTTTAGGGCCTACCTGTCTTACCCAAGGGGTTAAGACACAACTAGGAAGCTATCCACAGCAACTGCAGCATGAGTTCGATCCCCAGCCAGGGAGCTACCCACATGGCGCAGCAGACCTCTCCTGACTTGCCCGCTGCTCCTCTCAGCAGTGTATTTCAGTCAGTCTGCCTGTTCTGCTTCCTACTCTGTCTCTGGTGAATCCTCTCACCCCTCACACCTCTGGCCTGTACCCCAGTTCTTGTATGCATAAATAAATAAATCTTTAAAAAAATAAAATTTTAATTTTGTTTTCTAAAATTCAAATAGTACAAATAGTTCAGAGTGAAAAATAAATTTGTTTCCCTCAGATGATATGCTTATCTGAGGCGCTCTCATGAACATTTCCACAAATGAAAATATGCACGTAAAAGAATATACATATATTGTTGCCTTAAAAAACAAACCACAACACATTTTACACACTGAACTACTGCATTTTGCTTTGTTATATTAGAGTTTTTCTGTACTAGTAAAATAAATCTGCTTTAGTTTTTTTTTTTCCCTAACAATTGCACAGTATTTCAATGTATGACTGTATCATTGTTAAGTATTCTTTATCGCACAAAATCAGATCATTGTAAAATAGCTGATGAGGGTGTTTCAAACAGACTTATTATTCTAATCTTTTCTGCCTTCTCTTCACTTTTCATTACAGTCAACCCTTTATACTGGTGGGTTCCATATTAATATGTCAAAAACACTTACTATGTAAGTACATATGTAGTACATATCTAAGCACATATGTGTAACTACTATGTAGGCCTATAATGGTGGTGTTTGTATAGAACATATAGATTTTTCCTTTTTGCTTTATTCCCAAACAATATAGTATAACAACTAGTTACATAACATTTACATTGTATTAGTTATTGTAAGTAGATGACTTTAAATCAGAAGATGCAAATATTACAACATCCCCTTAGGATACTAAGGGATGACTACCACTAATAGTTTGGAAAGAAAACGTTAAAGAAAAAAAATCAAACAAAATGTTTATTATTTGTGCTCACCTTCATCAGTGATTTAGTAGGAGAAAAGGATATGATTCTAATATGTAGCTATACCATTTATTTTGCAATTATTAGTATCAAAATAATGTTCAGATTTTTTATTTCAAACTGATTCTAGGTCAGATCCAATTTCACTATTCTCCCAAAATTTTACGATTATCTTGGAAGCAGAAAGGCTCATTAAACAAATCTAACACATGGAAATCGCAAAATCGATCCACTAATAAAAATATGACAATCCATTTCAAAATACCAAACACCATCTCTACAGAGAAGACTGACAACGCTTAGCTATAAAAAGATCTGCATCTCAGTTATGAAATTCTATGCTTGACTCCTCATGTCACACTTAGTTTATTTTGAACCTAAAAACGTTGAACTTGAAGTAGACTTAATGAGGTACCTTGAACTTGAACAGAGAATACTTTGAGATCAGAGTATGTTTAAATTTTTTTTCTTCTGAATAGGATAGTCAGCCAATTTTACTTTCACTGTAATTTTACGTACACTATTACAAATAACTTTTAGAAAAATCCTTTAATACAGCTAATGATCTAACACACAAACACAAACACATTTCATAAATGAAGAAAACTAAGACTTCTAGATGTTAAGTAATTTGCCCAAGGTCACAAACCCTAATACACAGTAGACCCATATATAAACGACATTTGAGTGAGTTTAGTGGCCTTATTCTTAGTTATTATTCTCTAACGGTCATAAATTTCATGAAAAAACTAATGTAAGAGGTAAGGAATCAAACCATTAGAGACATTGAAAGTAAACAAAGTTATCAAAAGTAAATTTACTTCAATAGAAATTTAGCATTTTTCCTACCACTAATGGAAACCTAGAGAAAGAATATCCATTTCATTCCTGAATACTTAACTGTTTAGCAGAGAAAACAAATGACCCAGTTATGTAACAAACTATAAATTTCGACCTTAAGAAAAAAATTTGTTTGTTACAATATAAGTAAAAGTTAATACCAACTTAACCAATATCTAACACCTAAATTATCGGGATGCCTAACATTTTAAAACCAAAGTTCTCAACAAAAACAAACTGGAAAGAAAACAAAGCTTCCAACAATCACCAATACATCATCCCCTTATGTGTATACAAAACATTTCCAATAGGCTCAACAATAGGATTTTAACATCTAACAGAGTTCTGAGTATAATGTAAAAACATTTCTTTTTAATGTGTTCAAAGTACAAATGGTAAAAGAAACCTCTGTTTTATTTAAAGAGAACAGTTAAGTCAAGTATAATCTAACCTTTTCTAAGCCGTTTGAAATTCTAATTTCTTAAAGAAAATATTTGAAATTCAATTAAAATAATATTTTCATTAAAGAAGATGAAACTCAATTTTAATCATACATAATCATGCTATTAAAAGTTGGCATCACTTTTATGACTAAGCATTTACATTTTTATTGTTTTTCTGTCCAATTACATATAATGCTGACTGCTGCAATGAACATTTTTGTAGAAAACATTCTGCACCCAATCCCGATTACTCCCTTAGAGTAATTTCTTGGAACTAAAATAAAGAAGTCTAAGGTTATGATTTGAGGCTTTTGGTAACTATTTCCAAATTACTTCTAATCATATTTTCTGTAGTTAATTCTCATTCATTTTAATCACTTGTAACTTGAGAGGTGAAAAACAGCACCTTGACATTGTTTAAACATTTGTGTCTTTGGTTTGGTTATCACCAGGAAACAGTTAAATAAATTATAGTACAGCCAAACTGTGGTAAACAGTGCAGCTATGGTACGTATAAGGCATACTCATATGTACATGAAGGATGCTCAAAATAGATTATACTGTTAAAAAAAAAAAAGCAAGCCACAGAATAATCTTATAGCACAAACTCCTTTTTGTGGAAGTGGGGAAAAGGGGAAGAAAAACAGAAGTCTTAAAAATTAATATATAAAGACATACACATTTTTATGCACATAGAAAAAATATGTGGAAGAACATACACTATATTACTAATTTATACTTATACCTGGATCAAGACCAGCAATTTGGGTAGAAAAGGAGAAAGAAATGAAGCTTATACTTCACTACTGCTTGACTTCTCAATAAATGTGTAAATAAAAAGTTTTTTAAGTAACAGTAACAATATATTAGTATACTACAATCCCTAAGACTTTCTGTGGCACCAGTATCTAGCATTATGATTTATCATTTGGACCTATTTACTACTTTTTAATATTAGCTATTTATATACCCCCTATTTGATATACTAATTGTATCTAATTTTTAAACAGTCATCAAAACTACTCTACATTTTAATCCTATCCTTCATGGTTTTAAGAAACTTAGAACAATAATTTGAGAATCTTCTTTTTTTGTTTAACTTTATTTTTTAAAATAAAAAAATACAGAAGGGACTGTTTTGGAGAGATGTAAAAAAAGAAATTTCTGGCCTTCACCCAATTTTTTTTGACATAAAGGGAACTCTTCCTACAGTTAAACTAATTTAAATTTCCTTGTATATATAACTGTATATCTAGTACTACCTAGAATCCCAGTTTTTGAAATTACCTGCAGTTATTTCTGTGTCAAGAAATTGATTGTTGTAAACTAAAGGAAAATCAACAAGTCTATTTACATAATATGAAATATAATAACTTACTGAAATCATACCAATTTTTAGAGGGGAATATAGAACGAAGCATGCTCTTAAAAAGAAGCTATACGGTAATAAGTTTTTAAATGCCCAACCTACTAATCTGCTTTGTAACTCTGAAGATAGCTATTTGTATATGTGGGAGTAACTGAATATAGAATACAAACCAGGAGTGATATTTAGTTCATTTCCTATAGCTAGACTCCAAACTTTCCCACGAACACTAGGGGGCAATCCCTGCCACCACAATTCTCGAACTCTTCTCGTACTACGCCTAGAATTAAAGGGGGAGAAAAAAGGAGAAAGTTACTTTTTATACCAAAAATACTGGCTGCATGATGGTTTACCCTAGTCTATGGTTAAGTGATCAAATGATTTTTAAGAACATAGAGTGTAATTTATGTGATACATTCTTTCCTTTGGTTCATGGTTGTAGACAACAGAAACCTAAAAAAACTAGTGTCCTAAAGGACAACAGTAATATAAGGAAACTGCCTTCCACAGCTGCCACTTACACTAACAATACAATGAGAGAATCGAAATATGTGGACAACTTTGAAAAAACAAGATGATGTTAAATACAGTAATATAATCTGTTGTCAATTCAGTACCAAAACAAAATCACAAAGTCTTTACTAAAAGTAAAGCCCTAGTCTTTGAGAGGAAGTGTAGTCTGCTGAAAGAGTGTGGGCTTTAGGATCAGATAGACCTGAGTTTAAATCTCGTTTAACTATTCATTAATTATATAACCTTGGGCAAATCACTTAACCTCTCTGACCTTGACTTCCCTACAAGTAGGAATAAAGGGTATAAGAATCAAATGTGATTATGTAAAGAGCCTAATGTAATATTTGTCACACTGCCAATATTCAACCATTTCCCCAAGCATATCCTACACTGCAGGTATTGCAGAAGACAGAACCTACAGTCTATTCTAGAGGGAAGATGAGGCAAGTAAAAAAAAAAAAAACAAACTCAAAAAAATCAAAGGCAAAATAGGGCATGAAGTATGTTAGTCTCAAAATATAACAGAATATTACAGAGGGAAATAAATATACTATATTCTCCTGATTATGAGAAACACACTAAAAATTGCTTTAATATATTTAAGATTTAATAACATATTTTGCAAGGAATATTTTCTTTGCAAAAACCTGCTATTACATCAGTAGTACATTTTATAATATCTGGTGTATTAGAATGAAGAAAATATGGTAACTGAGGAAATTAAAAGTTTCATGTATATAAACTAGCATGTCAGGTGGGGCTTAAAGAATATGTAAGATTTTGACAGACATAAAGGGAGTCAATAAAGGAAGTAGGTATTAGAGATTAAGGAATTTATCAAAGCAAAGGCACAGAGATAAGTATTAAATATTCCAGACGATGGTTAACAGTATAATTACTCAGAACATTTGAGAAACATACTCAAAATATTAAAAAGATAAATTGGAAACATGAGATCTTTGGAGACAGACTGGAATTCAGGAAAAGTCTGCTTACTTACATTACTTCCCAATTGGGCAGGATTTCATTGATCCAAATTACCATTGCACTTGCAATATTTTCCTCCTGTTTAAATCGTTCCTTCATTATTTTTTTTCTTTTATGCGCTTCTTTAATTTCTGTTTTAAACAAGAATCATTTCAATATCAAAAAGTTAGACCAAACCCCCTCTCTTTCTACTAAGTCTACAAAAGAGGTTTTCTGAAAGAGAATAATCTGATAACAGTAAGGAAAGAAAATAAAAAGATGGACTCGCAAAAGGAAGGGGGGAGAGGAAGGAGAGGAAAGAAGAGGAAATAGGGAAGAAGAAAAAGAGGAAAAAAGGGAAAGAAAATAAACTTGATTAAAATAATTTTGAAAATAACATCTCCAATTCTATAAAATAAATGGAACAATGAACAGAAAAATCATTTAAATTGCCCTATTGCATATTCTATTTGTATTTATAAATTAAAATTTGCCATGAATTTACTATATAAAACAGTTGCTTTTTTTCATATCAGAGGTTTATGAGTTTCCTCACATGACATTAAAAAATTATTTTGCCAATGACACTGCTACAGTGAACCTTCTTTAATGTTTTCATTTTAGATTGAAACTTTAAAATGCCCCCAACACATAGACATACACACAACACCCTCTGAAAACTGGAAAATTTCAGAACAAAAGAAGCTTCACAAACAGAGAAGTGAGTTATTTAGAACTGGAGGGGTCCTCAGAAATCAAACTGCTTTCTAGTTGTGTTTCACACGGTACCTAACAAAGCATCTTAAGGGGCAAGGCGGTCAACTAAACAGCTCCACATTCTTGTTTCACATATTCAGATTCTACGTAATATTTCTCTTGAGAAGATTCCACTGCTTAGAAAGAAAACACTTTGAAGGAGAGGTCTGAAAGTTTAAATCTAGTCGAACTGCTGCCCACATTTTACAGATGAGAATAACTTCAGTTATGTTTAGAGCATCACATTCAGATAGTGTCAAACATGATTAAAGCTGTGACCATCTGATTTCCCAATTCAGTGTTATTTCATTCAGATTTTGTTAGGATCATCTACTTATCAATAACTATATTAAATGTTAATTAAATAGAAAAGTCAGTGTTGACAATCAATTAAAAATTTGAATGTTAGAAATGAACATATTCAGTAAAATTAACTCAGACAATGCTTAAATTAGTCCTTTTAGAAAGATAAAACTAGACAAGATTTACTAGCATTAAAGAATTAATTTCCAAAATAGTGACACAAAGTAGAACTGTATACAATTCTAACACTCCATTCACTAAACCCAAAGGAAAAAAAATATCGCTTGTTAATAAGGCATATGCCTAAAAAAATACATACCTGTGTAATATATTCTAAAAAATGTATCCTGGACTACTGGTAGTTAACAAATAAACACTGTTAAATTATCCTTATATTTTGGTTTGAAGAGAGAATAAACTGTGAATTTATTTATTTATTTATTTGTTTGTTTGTTTATATTTATGAATACAAGAACTGGGGTGTAGGCCAGAGGTGTGGGCAGTGAGAGCATTCACCAGAGACAGAGTGGGGAGCAGAACAAGCAGATCTACTGAAACACACTGCTGAGGGGAGCAGTGGATGAAACAGGAAAGATCTGCACCATGTGGGTTAACTCCCTGGCATGGAATCGAACTCACACTGCAGTAGCTGTTAACAGCTGTGACTTTAACCCCTGCGGCACCAGGGAGGCCCCCTATATGTTAATTTATATATGAGTATATACATTTATATTCCTTTCCAAATGACCCAAATGAGACTACAGAAAACTTCATAAGCCATAAAAGCAGATTTTAATTACAAGTCATATTTGAACCATATAAGAAAGTTATCTTAAAATGTTAAAATTAAGTTACAAAATATAAAAAACCTAAAAATTATAAAAGTGAATTTCATTAATAAATTCATGAATGATGCCTCTGTTTATAAATTAAGATAATAGTAGTTGGGGCCTCCCCTGGTGGTGCAGCGGTTGAGTGCTGGGCTGCGAAGCTGCCCACAGCCTCTGCAGCACCGGTTCGATCCCCAGCCAACGGCGAGGGTCCCACATGGCGCGAGAGACCTCTCCTGTCTCGCCCGCTGCTCCCCTCAGCAGTGTGTTTCGTCAGTCTGCCTGTTCTGTTCCCCGCTCTGTCTCTGTTGAATCCTCTCACCCTCCCACGCTTCGACTGTACCCTTTGCTTATATAAATAAATAAATAAATCTCTTTTAAAAATTAAAAAAAAAAAGATAATAGTAGTTTAAAGTCTATAATTGCAATTATAAGGTTTGAAAAAGTACATGATCCTAACATGACCTTTCATTTCTCTCTCTTTTTTTTAGAAGATTTATTTATTTTTTGCATACAAGAGCTGGAGTGTAGACCAGAGGTGTGGGGAAGGTGGTGAGAGGATTCACCAGAGACAGAGTGGGGAGCAGAACAGGCAGATCTACTGAAATACACTGCTGAGGGGAGCAGCAGGCCAGACAGAAGAGGTCTGCTGCACCATGTAGATTAGCTCCCTGGTCGGGGATCGAACTTATGTTGCAGATGCTGCGCATAGCTTCATAGTGCTGAAACTTAACCCTTTGTGCCAGAGAGGACCATGGCATCTCATTTCTCTTTAAGAACAAATTTAGGAAATCAGCATCATCTTACACACAGACTTGATCGATTTTACCAATCACCCTCCTTTAGAAATTAACCAATTAGTTAACTTCCTGTGAAAGTCAGTATATCAACTAAAATTTAGAGTTAAATTTCATACCTCGTTTTTTAGCCTCAGCCACCATTTCATCATATTCTTGTCGATGACGTAAAGCTTCTTCCACAGATTTGGCAGGAAGATTTCTGGGGGAAAATTTTTCTTTAAGTCATTTTTTAAAAAGATTAACTTTAACATGTATTACTTTATTTTTATAGATAGAAACAAAGAATCTCTAAACTACCCTAATATCATTTCATACGTTAAGAAAGCAAACAGTTTAAAAGAACTCTGCATTATGAAAAAGAATCAGAATCCAGATTGCTAATAGTTGCTATATACATGTCACATGTATATAAGCTTACATATTATTTAAACATGTCAAATCTTAGCCAATATTTGTTGAACAAACTTACTAGAGTTTTCTTAGTTAATTTTGATATATCATTTATACATAGTAATATTTACATACATAATAAAATATGAACAGATAGAAGTACAATTTGACTAGTTTTGACAAACCTACATACCCATGCACCCAACACACAATCAACATACAGAACAATCCCATCATTCCACAAAGCATTCTGGTGACCCTTTTGCACTCAATATTTACCCGCTTCATAGGTGATCACATCTCTGTTTTTTATTTCTTAGTTTTAAGATATATGACAAACTTTCAAATTTTACATTTTACCTCTTCTCAAATTAGTCAGATTCCTCTGCAATGTTGTGGCAGGGAGGAATAAAAGCTCAGATTTCTGCTTCAGGCCATAGTCTATTAAGAGTAACCAGGATTACCCTGATCTTAATTTATTGAAAACTGAGTAAAATACATTAAAAACAGTTTTTAGATACTGGACAACAGTCAGTACAACACAGTGATCCTTATAAAGGAAGCAAACAAGATAATCCTGCAACTACCTGAGTATAAAGCCTGGAGTTTCCATAGTCTTTTTCTATAGTCTTCTTTCATGAAGAGAATGCCCACATAGAATCCATCAGTTTTGTCGAGTTGAAGAAACAGAGTTTGAAGTTGCAGAGTTTGAGACAGCTAGAATTTGCAGATCAGAGAACCAGACAGAAGGGAGATAGAGAGGAACCCTCTCAAGTCTTTGAGTTCTAATCTATGCATGTATATGGTGGCCAGAAAAAGAAACACCAAAAAGAATAGGAAGAACATTCTCAATGATCACACTGAACCAGCTAGAGTAGAAAGACCACTCGATAAGTAGGTTATCTGGTAGAGTCCTTAGAGTGTGACTCAGTAGTAAGGATAAATTAGGCCTAACCTAAGGCTGTTTTAGAACACCTCTAACAAGTGTTAGATCAAAGCATCTAACCAATTCCAAGTAAATGGTATGCAAAAGGTCAAAAAATATATAAAAGAATACAAAAAAGTCCAGCATACAACTATGTTTAAATCACAGTATCTAGTACATGCACCCCCCTCCAAAGAAAAATCACCAGGAATACAAAGAAGCAGAAACATACACTCCATAATAAAACCAATATTACCTCAGTAAAAATTAAAATAAATACAATCCATAATAAGTTAAAAAAATCAATCAACAGAAAGTCAGATAATGGTATAATTCAAGGATGATAAAACTGCTGTTATAAATATACTCAAGGACCTCCCTGGTGGCACAAGGGGTTAAGTCTCAGCACAGTGAAGCTATCCACAGCCACTGCAGCACAAGTTCGATCCCTGGCCAGGGAGCTGACCCACATAGCACAGCAGACCTCTCCTGTCTCACCCACTGCTCCCCTCAGCAGTGTATTTCAGTCAATCTGCCTGTTTTGCTCCCCAATCTGTCTCTGGTGAATTCTCTCACCCCCACAACTCTGGTCTATACCCCAGTTCTTGTATGCATAAATGCATATATGCATAAATAAATAAATATACTCAAGAGGTAGAAGAAAGCACGTGTAAGAGAAACTCAAAATCTAATCAAACTTTGTTTTCTAAAATGAAAAACACAAAAAAATGGGACTCACAAGTTTTACACTGCATGAGAAAAAAAAATCAAGTTAATTTTACAATAGAAACTATACAAAATGATATAGAGGAAAAAATATCCCGCCCCACAAAAAATAAGCCAAAGTGAGCTGAGAGACCTGAAACATTATCAAGCAATATACTATATGTCTCATTAACATCTCAGAAGAAAGCAGGGAGGGAGTAGAATAAGAAATAATGGAAGAAATAAAGGCTAAATTTTTCCAGAGTTAATAGTAAACCATAAATATACAAATACATTAAGCTCAAAAAGAAAGAACATGAGGAAAAGCACATCATATTCAAATTCATGAAAATCAAATGTAAAGAAAAATCTGAAAATATTCAAAAAGTAAAAGAATTTACAGACAAAAGACCAGCATTACAAAAAATGTTAAAATAAAATGCAGCAGAAGGAATGATACCATAAGGAAATGTAGAGTTTAATAACCTCTTAAAAAATAAAAGGTTAGGGCCTCCCCGGTGGCGCAGCGGTTGAGCGCTGGGTTGCGAAGCTGCCCGTGGCCTCTGTGGGGCCAGTTCGATCCCCGGCTGCTCCCCAGCCACCGGAGGAGGGTCCCACATGGCGCGCAGACCTCTCCTGCCGCCCGCTGCTCCCCTCAGCAGTGTACTTGGGTCCTTCTGCCTGCTCTGCTCCCCGCTCTGGCTCTGGTGAATTCTCTCACCCTCCCGTGCTTCTGACTGTACCCAGTGCTTGTATAAACAAAACAAAGCAAACAAATAAATAATAAATAAATAAAACATGCCTCTATAAAAAAAATAAATAATAAAAGGTTAAAGAAAAAAATAATAAAATGTATGGTGTATAATGGTTAATTTTATGTTAACTTGGCTGCAGAATGTGTGTCCAGTTATTTGAATAGCCATTATCCATCACCAAAAAGGTGAATAAGGAAGAATTCAATCCTTCTCCTATTCCTCTCCATATCCCCTTCCTATATTCCTGTATTTGAAGTTTCTATATTTGAAATCTTCTGACATTTAATATACCTAATGCTATTAAGAAGTTTTAATTATAAAAACCTAAGAAGTCAGTAATTATAAATGTTTCTGAAAATTACAGAGGCAGAGAAAGGAAAAACAGCATCAATTCACAAACTCCCTTTCCTAGGGTAAACTTATCCTCTCCTCATAATTATCACTTTGACTTATGGAAGAGGAAGTTTCCATTATCAATTCCATGCTGAAAAAAACACTGCCTCTTTCTCCACCCCCTCACAGAGGCTACTTCATAGAGGAAGTAATGGCATCACCATAAACCACTATAACCAAAATCAAGAGAACCTACACAAATCTCTGCCCCAGCTTACTGGCCTATGAAAATATGGGCATTAGTTGGCCCAAAACCATTTGGTTAGTATTCTGGGAGACAAAAAGTAGGAAATGTTCTTTAATATCCATGTTGCACCCATGTACTCTCATCTGATTTCACCCTGAATAAAACTGAAGCTTACATTATGACTTGCTCTCTATATCTATTTCCCAACTGATGTAGAAAAAAGAGAGATGAATGATTAGGAACCACCAATATTCCAACATCATGGAAAACCTGTTCACTGGTTTTAGTTACATAAATGTAAGTCATATAAGTTGATTACCCCCAAAATTATCTCTTCAAATTTCACAAAGTGAACAAACTTTTAATTTAAATCACATCAGGACCCCCCCCCCCCACCGGTGGCACAGTGGTTGAGCGCTGGGTAGCGAAGATGCCCGCAACCTCTGCAGCGCCGGTTCCATCCCCGGCTGCTCCCCGGCCACCAGAGGAGGGTTCCACATGGCGCGCAGACCTCTCCAGCCACCCGCTGCTCCCCTCAGCAGTGTACTTGGGTCCTTCTGCCTGCTCTGCTCCCCGCTCTGGCTTGGTGAATTCTCTCACCCTCTCGCGCTTCTGACTGTACCCAGTGCTTGTATAAATAAATAAATAAATAAATAAATCTTTAAAATGAATGAATGAATGAATGAATGAATTAAATCACATCATCTCAAAGGTGAGCGGAACGGTAGCTATCAGGCTGAATCTCTGTATTAGATCTGAATAAACTCATACGGAAATGAAATAGAAGCAAAATTTATTATATTAATTTCAGACAATCAATAATAGAGTGAAAAAAGATTATTATAGCTGTTTATACATATGTGACACAAAGATCCTTTTAAAAACTTACTGTATCTTGTGTATTCGGGTTTCAATTTCATGGAACTACTTGCACAAGTCATAAGAAAAATTTATAGCAACAGTTAGCACTGAACGTTGAAGTCAAAAAAGGCCTGAAGCAGAAATAAGATCATTGCATTCTAAGTGGGGGTAATAACAAGAGCAAAGGCATGACTGCAGACTTAAAAGAGACCAATCTGACTGTAAAACAGAGTATCATGTAAAGAAAAATTTGTCCATACAAAGTCTAGAATACAGGCCTCCCTGGTGGCGCAGTGGGTTGAGCGCAGCCTTGTGAAGCTGTCCGCAGCCTCTGCAGTGAGGGTTGGATTCCCAGCCAGCCAGGGAGATACCTACATGGCAAGTCAGACCACTCCTGTCTCGCCCGCTGCTCCCCTCAGCAGTGCTTTCGGTCTGTCTGCCTGTTCTGCTCCCCACTCTGTCTCTGGTGAATCCTCTCACCTTCCAGGGCCTCTGGCCTGTACCCCAGCTCTTGTATAAATAAATAAATCTTTAAAAAAATATATATAAAACTTTCACATGTTCTCATAACTAAATATCTTTGTTAACCAATGGAAAAATGACTATGAACATATTCACCAAATCCTAAAAAAGGAGTATTGGAATTAGAATTCTTCAGTATAAAGGAATGCAACAAGAAAAAGAAAATAATGTAGTTATGTCTAGTCTTTTTTATTTTTCACAACATCTAAAAACTATTCACCTTTGCCTTTTTGGATCTAGATTCTATTATATATATATATCAGGACAATGGACAGAACAAACTACAGACCAGAAAAAAGATATGGATTTTTTTAACACTGAAGGAAAGAGCAGTCAAAAAGAAAAAGAATAGATTCAGAGAACCCAAGAAGTAGAAAAGGAGTTAATAACTATGTGATGTTGCTTTAGGGAAGATGTACTTTGTTTGATAACAAATCCAGAGACACTATTTTTCTTTACAA